TTGGCTAAGTGGCAGCATCAATGGGCTCAGGTGTGGCAACAATTGTGAGGTTGGCCCAGGACCGAGCAGTGTTTCATTCTGTTGTGCATAGGGTCACTATGAGTTGTTACTGACTCGATGGCACCTAACAACAACACAAAAAGAAGTGGAGTCCTGATGTTGTGCTGTGGGTTAATGTGCCAGACTGCAAAGCCGGTTAAACTGTAAGGTCAGCGGTTCAAGCTCTAGCTGGTCCTCGGAAACCCCATACAAGGTTGCTATGGATTGGAATCCACTCAACAGCACTTAACAGCAACAACATAGAAAAAACTATGGGGTCATGGATGAGGCAAGTTAACTTTAGGATGCAGAAGAAAGAAAGATTCAAGGGTATTTAAAAGACAATCTGAGCATCTCCAGTCCTTCTTTCACTATTAATTTCAACCAATTCTGATTGATATCCAACAGTAACTATAGTCAGCCTGTAGGTCTTATTGTTCACATTCATTGCAATACTTAGTTATACTTGATGACACAGTTCTTAACAGATTCCTATATATTGTTCTACAAGAAAGTCTTTTAGATTTTAGTCCATGGTTATATAATCTTTTTTATTCTCCATGCCCTTTATGTTCAATCTCATTAACAAAACTTTTCACTTTTTAGAGTAAGAATCCTTCTTTTGGAGTTGTTGTACAGTTGCTGTTGCATAGGGTTTCTGAGGAGCATCTGGTGGATTTGAACTACCATCTTGCAGTTCAAATTGATCGTTCAGTCTATTGCTTATATGACAGTACTCCACCAGAACTCCTTTTGGAGTTATTCTCCTACAATCTTACGACTTTGAGTAAGAGTATTTAACCCTTCTAAATCTCAAACTCAGTAACTCCAAAACAGAATTGATTATAATGACTGTTTCAAAGTGCTGATGTGAACATTAAGCGTCAATTGTCCCTGGCAAGGTCTGATTCTGTGTATATCTGCAGTAAGGACCAGGTGTTATTATGACAGCCAAGTTCCTTTCATAGTGTATAGAACACTTTCACAGCCAGTACCTTACTTGATTTTTCATAAGAAACCTGGAAATGAGACAAAAGATTCTTTTTTTTTTTTTAGATTTTTATGTTACAGATGAGGAACCAGAATCTAGTGTCTCCTCACTTCCACATCAATGGTTTTCTCACTCAACAATGATACACATAAAAATTATTTAACTCTTTGCCCATTATTTTTCTAAAGAAAGCACATTATCATAGATCATTGAAAATTTTTAAAAGGTATACTTGTCCAAGAGTCAGAAAATAAGTTGGAGATGTGGGTGTTCTATAAACAGAGTAGAATCAAGGATGCAAAATAAAATGCTTTATTAGTCCAAAAAAACAAACAAACAAACAAACAAAAACCAAAAACAAAAACAAGGAGGCAAGAATTTGGAGATACTAACTCATAGCATATAGCACGCTAGCTTCTGCCTCTCCCAGACAAGTGACTCACCTGGGGAAAAGACAAGACTGGGGTGACAGAAATGGCTACCATGAACTGATTCATCACATAAAAAACTGAATACAGACAAGGAAATCAATCTAGGGTCATTCCTGGTCTTGAGTTTTTACTGTCTTTGAAGAAGGGCCCCAAAGCACTAAATGAACTTGTTTTTCTTTTTTCCTGGGCAGCTCCCCTTCAACGACTCGCTAACGGCAAGCACACAGTGTTTACCCTTTTACCGCTCTTCTGCTGCTTGTGGCACTGGGGACCAGGGAACTTTCTTTGGAAACCTCTCAGAGTCAAACCCCAGACAACAGATGAACGGGTTGACCTCCTTCCTTGACGCATCCACAGTTTATGGCAGTACTCCCGCCTTAGAGAAGAAGCTAAGAAACTGGACCAGTGAGGAAGGGCTGCTCCGGATCAACCAGCGCTACCAGAACGGCAGACATCCGTACCTGCCCTTCACGGAGCCTCGGGGATCTTCACCCTGTGCTCAGGAGCCTGGTACGGAGAGCGCAGACCGGATAGAGTGCTTCTTGGCGGGAGATGGCCGTGCCAGTGAGGTCCTTTCCCTTACAGCTGTGCACACGCTGTGGCTGCGGGAGCACAACCGCTTGGCCATCGCCCTGAAGGCTCTCAATCCGCACTGGAGCTCAGACACCATCTACCAGGAGGCGCGCAAAATCGTAGGGGCCTTGCATCAGGTGCGCACAATTGTGGGAGCTCTGTTTCAAGGGTCAACTCTGGTGACTGGGTTACTTTAGTTTGAGCTTTATGGCTGGGCAGTGGTTATTCTACCAATAATACCAACAACAACAACAATTACTTATCGGTTTTAAATGAAGTGGAGTTGGTACCGAATCAATGACCCTGTACAGGGTTTCTGAGGCTGTAAATCGTTAAAGAAACAGAAAGCCTCACCTTTCTCCCTAAGAATGGCTGGTGGTATCGAACCACCAACCTTGTGGTTCGCAGTCTAGTGTTTATCCTATAGAGCCATTGCCCTCAAACAACAACTACTGCTGAACAATAAAAATAGGTTCAATTCACCAGGAGTTCATCCCTGTGTCAGGAGCCATTTCAAAGACTTGACAGGCTTTAACTCTTTTATTGCTCATAACAACCTTTTGCAGTGGGTAGGCATCTAGGATTTTGATATATTATTTACTTCATAAAATATTGTTACTAATTTTATTCACCTCACAGGGTTGATATGAAAAGTTAATGAATTATTTTCAATTATTGGCAGCCATTTCTTGTGTTCCTATTGAGTGTGAGGTCTTGTGTTGTTGCTGTGTGTCCCATCAAGAGGCTGTTAACTCATAATGACACCATGTGACGAAGTAGAACGGCCATATAAGATTTCCTAAAAATGCTCCATTGGGTTTTCTAGGCTGTAATCTTTATGAAAACAGACCAATAGGTCTTTCACTACTAACTCTTCAATTATCCTCAAAGCACTTAACTATTTAAGTCATGACAGCACCTTACATTACTCCTTAAGTTTTCACAATGACCCAATGGGAAGAAACTGAGTAGTATGGAATCTAAGTGTCTTCTCCAATGTCCCACTGGCTTCTCCAGAGTACACCAGTGCCCACCTGCTTTCTTCTCACTTTTACTACAATATGGTCCACACACCCAAGACACCACCAGAACCCGGAAGTCTCACTATACCAAGTATTAACTCTTTAATGGCTGGACAGTGGGAGAGTTGCTATGAGTTAGAACTGACGCAACAGCACTTAAAAACAATCTCTCATGAAGATAGATACAAAAGCTCTGAGTGAAACTTAACTTAAAGAATCCAACATCATATCAAAATCATCATGACTAAATGGGATTTATATCAAACATTCAAATACGAGTCAATATTAGAAAAACAAAGGAAAAGAACCACATGATCATAATGATTGATGCAGAAAAGGCATATTACAAAATCCAACACCCATTCCTGATAAAACACTCAATGAAATAGGAATAGAAGGGAAATTCCTCCACACAATTAAGTGCATATGTACAAAACCAACAGCCAATTTTACGCTCAATGGAGAGAAACTGAAAGAGTTCCCCTTGTGAATGGGAAACAAACAATGGTGCCTTTTATCAGCATTCCTATTCAATATTGTACAGGAAGTATTAGTCAGAGCTATAAGGCAATAAAGACATCCAAACTATCGAAGAATTAAAACACTCCCTATTTGCAGATGATAAGATCTTATACATAAAAAGTTCCAAAAACTCAGCAAGAAAATGATATGGAGATGTCATTCCAAACAACTCACTGGAACTCATTGAAACATTCAGCAAAGTGGCATGATACAAGATCAAAATACAAGGACATCAACATAAAACATCCTTTACATTAATAAGGAGAGCTCTGTAAAGGAAATCAGGAAAATAACCATTTTAAACAGGCACCCAAAAGATGAAATATTTAGGAATAAATATACCCAGAGAAACAAAAGACCTATACAAAAAAACCTACAAAACACTGCCATAAGAAATTAAAAGAGACCTACAAAAATGGAAGATCATAGCATGCTCATAGATTGTTGTTGTTAAGTGCTTTTGAGTCAGTTCTGACGCACAGTGACCCTGTATAGTGTTTCCAAGAAGCAGTTGGTGAGCTTAAACTGCCAACCTTATGGCTTAAACTGACCTTGCAGTCCAACGCATTAACCCACAGCACCACACTAGGACTCTATGCTCATGGATAGGAAGACTTAATATTGTGAAAATGTTATCACCACCTAAATGTTATCATCTATGGATCTAATGCAATTCCAATCCCGATTCCAACATCATTTTTTAAGGAGATTGAAAAATTAATCTCTTAGTTTATATGGAAAGAAAGAGACCACAGATGAGTGAAGCATTTCTTAAGAAGAATTATATAGGAGGCCTCTTACTGATCTCAAAACTGACTATAAAGGCACAGTAATCAAAAGAAATTGGCACAATGAAAGACACATAGACCAATGGAATAGAATTAAGAACCAGAAGTAAATCCATTTACCTACAGTCAGCTGATATTTAATATAGGACCAAAACACAACAAATGGTGCTGGAAAAACTATAAATCAAATTTCAGAAGAATATATCAAGACCCATATCTTATAACATATACAAAAATGAACTCAACATTTGCAAGTTTTGAATAGTTTATAATTTTGTTTTCATTTATTTTGTCCATTAGTTTTGTAGTGTTTTTCTTCTAAATTTCTTTCTGTGTTCTTGTTTTCCTCAATCTTTCTCTCAATCTGATGAAGGTAACTAAATATTATTCTTTGGAATTTTTGATCAGGTGGTTTCAATACCTTTTCTTCCTTCGAAAAGTTTTTAGCTCTGTATCTTGGTCACATGTTTGAGCTCCTCTGTTTTATTTCTTCATGTGAACTAAATGTGCCTGTTGTCTCTGAGTTTTTGTGGTGCTGTTTCATTTGTATTTAATTGGTTGTTGTATATTGGACTGATTCTTAGGCACTCACTGTCTTCTGGTGGGTGTGGTTAGAGAATGCTTAAGTCTGCATGTGTCTTCATTCACTGTCAGTACTGCTCAGTTTAGGGTAGATTTTGCTGGTGTTGGCTGCTATCATTGATCAAGTGGTATTGTAACAATATTGACTCTTGCCCAGTGCCAGTTGCTGTCTCCCATCAGTTGGGACAAAAAGAAAAACCACATACACACAAACATATTCAAGAAAACAAAACAAAACAAGCAAGAAAGCAATGGTGAAAAAAAGAAAATTACACAAGAGAAAAAATAAAAACAGGCAGCAGCAAAGAAAAGAACATAAAATTTCAAAGAGGGAAGAGGGAAAGGTGAATAAAAATGTGAAAGATAAATACAAAAGAGAAAATAGAAAGAAAGAAAGAAATATTAAATAAAGGAAATATCAAAGAGAAAGAAACCAGAGAGTAGTAAAAATATCAAGTGTAATAAAAGAAAGAAGAAGAAAAGGGAGAGAAAGAAAAATATAAGAAAAGGAAAAAAGAAAATAGAAATAGAGAGAGGATTAAAAAATAGACAGGGAAAGAGAAAGTAAAAAAACAGGAGAGAGAATAAACAATCAAAGGAAAAACTAGGGCAGGTGCTGGGCCCAGAGAGAAGACCACTTTGGAGGGATTCTGCCAGTCAAGGAGCTAACAAGTTGGTTGGGGGGAGGGACAGGGCATTCCTGGCTCCTATAGATCTGGGTTGGAATTCCTATAGATCTGGGTTTTGTGTATGTTCAGAGCACCCAATCTGGAATTAGTTCATTCAGGCCCCAGTGATAGACTAAGTCAGGCTCTTAAAGACCCAGAGGGAAGCAGGGGACAGGGCAACTAGTTATGAGATTTCCTGTTACTCTAGGGTTGACTGGGACCAGCTCTGCAAGTTCTGCAAATCTGAAGCAGAGCTCACCTGAAGCCAGGCACTTAATTCATAACACATGGCTCACAGCTGCATTGCTTCAACATCCGGGAGAGAAGGGGCTGTGCTTGGCACAAATGAGGGAGAGAGTTGACCATTCCTCTGGTCACCAGCAGTATTTGGGGGAACAAGAAAGAACCACACCTTTCTTTTACCAGTCATTAATGTTCATGTGCATATTCAGTACTTCCAAAGTGCTCCTAAACGTTCACCTGTCTGTCTCCTTTTACAACACTCTGTTCAACTTCTCCAACTAGTAAGCAGTCAATCCACTTTTCCATCCTTCCTGCTGAGGCTCAGGGTTCCAGGATTATCATCTAGATCTGTTTCATTCTTTCTCTCCAATCATTGTTGCAGAGGGTCTGTGTAGTGTGGCTACCAAGTCCCTTCTTGCTGGAAGTCCACCATTATCTTTTAGTTCCATTTTTTTTTCCCAAGAACTATTTGAAGCCTTCTTATATTAGTTGAACAGCAACAGTGATTAAATAGGTGTGTGTGGTGTTTTTACGCATGTGTGTGAAAGAAGAAGTACAATCAGAATGCCCACTAGAAGTGAGGATGGTGAGACTTTGTCTCACTTCCTTTGGGCATGTTATGGGATGTAAATTATTTACAGTATGTCCCAATATTAGCTCTTGCACTTATAAATTGTTGTTAAGTTCTGTCTAGTCAGTTCTGACTTATATCGACCCTATATAGGGTTTCCAAGGAACTGCTGGTGGGTTTGAACAGCCAACCTTGTGGCTTATCTAATTAGAAATAGTGTAATTCTGGAATTATAAGAATCCAAACTGATCTGAAAACAATGACATTTGGATGTCTAGTGTCAGTAAATTAAATAATAATAACAAAACCATTAGCAGAAATTGCTTCAGTATTTTGTATTTACCTTCCTCCATCTATTTTCTGGGGTTTGTTGTTGTTGTTGTTGTTGTTCACATTCTTTTTTCATGGTTTTATATTTCACTTTCTTTTGTGTGTCTTTAATCAATAGCACCTCTGTAGTACTTTTTACAAATACCTTTGAAACCTCAAAATAATAAATTACATTTAATGTGTCAATAAAACCACTACTGAGACTTTGAACTGTATGTGAAAGACAGTGTTCACCTGGAAAGACTGTCATTTTCCTCTCTGTAGTATTATTGACCTACAGTTTGGTAACTTTATGATCTGAATCACTCTCTTCCCGAACAAATTAGATAATTAAAAGAACTATCAGGACACACTTTAAGTACATATATGTATATATACTCCCTCCTTTCCAATAAAAGCCAAGATAGACCT